GTGCGCCAGTCGCGGGCATCGGCCTTGACGAATACCTTTAGCTGCTGCAGCACGCGCTCCAGCTCCAAGCGCCACTCCTGATGATCGCTGAGGCGAGCGTCCAGCTCGCGGTTTTGCTCGTCCGTCGCGCTGGCTGGCAGCGCGCCCAGGGCACGCTTCTGGCGGTTGAGCCAGTTGACCTGCTTGAAATTATGCGCCTCCAGCTCGAGATCGCTGTCGTCGCTGAGGGCGGCCGCATTTTGCTCATCCTCCAACTTCTCCAATATGATCTCTGCATTGTCCTCCAAGTAGTCGCCCACAAACTCCTCCTCCTGGGCTATGTGCAGGCGTTGATAGTTGACTTGCGTCACTTTCACCGCCTGCGTGGCCAACGAATCGAGCACCATAAGGCAAACGGGACCAGCGCCACGTATAAGCTTATTGGGAGCAAAGTCCACTGGCACATCCTGCAAGGATGCGACTACTTCAGTTGCCTGAACCTTCAGTTAGCTCTACGAACTTACGATTTCCTCCAGCATTTGCATTATCTTGGCGATCACCGTATTGGGATCATCGTGCTCCTGCGGCCGCTCCATTTCCTTGCCCAGCTTCCTGCACAGCCACCAGCAGATCAGCGTAAACATAAAGAATTGCTCTCCCGGATTTGTTGCCTTCACGAAATAAAAGCGCGACAGCGGCTTCAACTTGTATTCCCTGAGCAGATGCTTCTCATAGTTGAGCAGCTTCAGCTTTTCCAGCAAGTCATCTGATTGAAAGTTTTGCAACTGTTGCGTTTTATCAGCGGCCTCCTCTTGCATTTTGTTGAAGCTCTTTTTTCAGAATGAAAATATTATAACCTTTTTATTTGTGTTTGTTCATTTCCATGGCAACCAGTAGCCAAACAAAAAGCATCGCATATGCGTATAATACAACACTTAACATTTGTACTTAAGACTTTAAACTATTCTCCATAAGCATAAATTATAAACTTAATTAAATAAATTAAATTGTATTAAATTGTATTAAACAATTAAATTGTATTAAAAATTAATCAATTTTGATTTGGCGCCTAATGAATACTCAACAGATGGCGCCAATAAAAGTTGCCATTCACATGAACTAGCTAACACATTATAGCTATCGATTTGTCTAGGATAGTATCGATTGGGATGACACATTCTCTCAATATATATCTAAAAATAATATCGATATATATTGTCTAGCAGCACTGCTGTAGCGTCGCTTTTGCACAATTGATTCAAAATTTTGTCGCCCTACAGAAAAAACGACCCGAGTATTGTTTTTAAAATGTACAATAACTTAGATTTAAATGCTTTGACCATAGAAGACATAGTCGAAGAATACAAAATATTGCATGAGCGTCATGAGCAACTGAAAGAACGCAGTGAGGAGGATGCCCAGCGAATACACGAGCTCAAACGAAGCCTGGACACATCTTTGGCGGCAGAAAAATATTTAACGCAGGAGCTGGAACATCTAAACGCCCAGGCGCAAGCGTCGTGTCCTAACACAGATGCGCGTGTGCAACAAGAATTGGAAGATCTCCGACGCAAACACAGAAATCTACAACTGGAACATGAAACCTTACAACAGGACTACGATGCGAAAGTCGAGGAGACAGTCAGCCTCAAGGCGAAGCTGGAGAACGCAGTGCGCGATCTGGAATCGTCTGCTATGGTGAAAACGAGCAGTGTAGACGATGAAATCATATCACGTTTAAATGGAATGGAATTGGAGAATGCAGAGCTAATGCAAAAATTGGCTGAATATGAGGAGGGCAATGTGAAAAATACCTTTGCCCTCGCCGAGCAAGAGGTGAGTATCTTTAATGTATCATCCTATTGGTATAATCTTATTATCTGCACAGAAAACCATTGAGATATTAAAAGATCAAATCGATTGCCTGGAGCAAAATCTGCGCAGCAAACGAGATGAGCTGGAGGAGAAGTTTCAGGTGTTGGAGAGCACTCAGGAGCAGCTGGTGGATGCTAATGCCAAAATAGCCCTGCTGAGCAGTGCCCCAGAACACAATGGTTGAGTATACAAGTCGAAATCTTTATAACTTTATCTTGAATGCAATAAACTTGCAGAACGCAAAGGAAATTCACTGTTTGCGGAGGTAGATGATCAACGACAGGTGATGAAGCACTTACTAGCTGCCCAAAAGAAGAGCTATTTGGATATGAAGAAGATATTCAACGAGAGTAAATTTGAAATACATCGTCTTAAACGTGAGAACATAGCCATGCACACGGAGCTTCAAGCATGCAGCACAATCTTCTGCAGCGCCGACAAAACCTACCAGAGTGAGTACTGGCTCGGGGAACTCTGCTGTAGAACTTTCTTAACTTATTCTGATCCATTTTGTAGATAAGCTCAATGAACGCATTCGCAAGCTGTTGCAGCAAAATGCCAAACTGGAGTGCAATTTGAATGAGCTGCAGGAGCGTCTGCGCGAATTGGCCAGCCAAAAATCAGTGACTTGGCTAGATTCTATGCTGGATTTCTGCAAGTATGAGCTGGCCGAACGCTTGGGCCATGTTGTGGCAAAGCTTTGCAATCATTTGCTTAGCTTTACCAGCTACAGATTGTTTTTATTGTGATTTGCCCGTTAAGTTAGGCTGCGTTTAGATTTAGTTCACAACATTCCCATTCCATTTAGACGCGAAACGGACGAGCTGAAGACCCAACTGCGCAGTATGCACATCCAAAATGCCACGCTCGAGGAACAGTTGCGCAATATGCAACAGGACATGGCACGGTCAGTTCAAATAATTCGCATTTTAAGCTGTTTTAAACCTATTTGTCTTTATTGTTCAGTTGGCGCTTTGAATCGCTGAAGTCACGCTGTGTGTTGATTGATCGCGAAAATCTGCTGATGGAGCACAAGATTGCTTTCAAGCCCATGCAGGCCATGGAGTTCGATATTAAGGAAGCTCAACTTAAAGCTGCCTTGCCACGTATTGTCAACGTCACGGCCGCCCCTTTAGGCTGCGAGAATGCAGTTAACGTGACAACAAAAGCTGAACTCGTTGTATTGGAAACGCCGTTAAAGCCGCGTGCAGTTTGCGTCAATCTGCAAACGGATGTCATTGTCTTGGACACTCCACTTAAAACTGAGCCGGAGACGGAGTCGCGCTCTGCCATTAAATATGCACCGCTCTCTTGTCCAATTAAAATAAAGCATGAGGTAATTGATCAGGCATCCACAGAGAACTCAGGTGAACAGCTACAACTAGATCAGGTCCAATGCAAAACTGAGCTAGAGGAATCGGATGCAATCGAACCGTTAAGTTCCTCATCTCAATCACTTACAATGTCCACTCCACCCATTGGACACATCCGAATTAAATGTGAGCAGCAGCTTATGTCACCTGAAACAGAACCATTGCAAGCACCGGCTGAGCTTTCTGTGCCTGCCAAGCCTCAGCGCAAGGGCACTCCTATCAAATTAAGTCAGGTTATAGCTGAGTTTGATGAGGACCAACATGAGCAAGTTCCCACGCCTGCCAAGCCGCAGCGCAAGGGTACGCCAGTTAGGACCAAGGAAGAGCCCATTGAGTTTCATGAAATTTGTGAGGCTAAACCCTTGCGCAAGGGCACGCCAGTTAGAGTCAAGTCTAGTGCCATTGACACTGAGACCAGCGTCCTCTGTCCAGTGCGCTCTATACTAACAAAGAAACGCGATTTGTTTGCCGAAGACAGCAACAAGAATGTGCAGTTCAGCAGCAACGCACCCATTGTGCACAATCTGTCTCCTGATCTTTGCAGTCCAGCGACGTGCAGCAAGGAAAATGCTCAGCCTGAAATCCTGGACATAAAGCCAGTCAAAAAGTCGCAGAGCATAATACGACGCATCGTTGTGGCATCCAAAAAGCCAGCAAGCTCATAAAGTGAAAAGCAAATGCATATTTATAAATACAATTTTTAATTAAACTAAGACTTAGTCTATGAATTACACACCAAACAACAACGAGACGTACAAACTTAATAATTCTTGCCAATCCTAGATTCACATTCGGAGTCTTACTGCAACAGGCATCAAGATAGTATATGCAAACCTGGAACAATAAAATTTCTATAAATCAGACTTATGAAAAATATAAAATAAACAAAATGACAAATTTATATATAAGCTAAACCCAATTTTAGAGCCATTCGAGGTTTTCAAATATGTATTAACATTGTATAATATTTCTGGAGCCCAGACTTGAGTTACGGCATGTTGTACATCAACTAATATTTTTAAAGTTTATATAAAAATGTGCAAGTAGGCTATGGACTAAACTGCATTATGATTAATAGAACTTCATAATAATAATATATAATATATAATAAATAATCATAGCAGATAATGTGTATAGGCTTAATCAATATATGAGGGAATTTTATGAAAATCATGTTTACAGTATAAAAATTGAAAACTGCAATTGTCACATAAAATGTTGTCTTATTTGAGATCCCCTTCAGAGTAAAGATACTCTATGCTCCAGTTAGAAGTCAGTCTACAAAAATTTGTAACTTCCGATTCTGTGCTTTATAATATTGTCAATGTGCTTTGGTATATTGTCAATACTTATCTGCATCTAAATATATTCTTGATTGTAATCAACGGCCAACACTAGGTACACTCATAACGCATCCCCAATCATAAATTTGTAAATATGCAGATAGAGTTAGAATTGTCTATTTCGGCTGTTACGTCAGTCACATCAAAACCTCGTCTAAGACCCCGTATGGGACTCTAATCAGAACTTCATAGATAATTCAATTACCAAAGAGTGCAGTCTTTTGCTCATAATCTGAACTTTTAATGAAAAATGAGTAAGATTTAGATATGAAATGTATCTCTTGCTGATATTACTATAATTTTCTACTTTCTGTTACATGCATTTCGACACGTTCATAATACCCGTTCTTTGAATTTGTACAGGGTGTACACATTCCATTCGACTGAGATGATCTCTTAGTGCAAACAGTTGACAAAGTTGTGCTGATAGTATTTATTAGACAATCTCTTTCTGTAGCTTACGTAATTAAGCAGTCTGTTAGACGTCCAACGGTTTCTCCTCCTCGAAGCCCAAGTGCTCGTAGATGGGCGCTGAGGCTGCGGGCGTTTCATCAAGTGGCTCCTCCACCTCTCCTCCGTCGGCCGGTTCCTTGATCTCTGTGTATAGCTGATAGGGCAGATCTGTGGGCATGACCTCATAGGTGACGTGATGGGTGCGCGAGCAGGTGGACTGCCTTTGGCCGGCGCAGTTGCAAATGGAGGCGGAGCCACTCAGTGGTGTCTCATAGCCATCCGCCTGCGGCTCCAGATCCTCAGTCATGTTGGCGGTGCTATTGCCATTGGCGATGGGATAGCGCACGATGTCTATGTGATCCACAAAGCGATGATTGCTTGAGGCTTTGTTGCCGCAAAAGCAGGGCAGGCCGCTGGCGTAGTAGGACCAATGGAACATACGCTCGCAGTGCAGATAGAGATACAAGAGCAGAAAGAGCAGCGCTATGCCCAACGGCAGCATGAACACTATAATGAGCGCCTCCGAGCGCTGGCTGTGCGACTGCTGTATGGGATTGCCATAGAGCACCGTGTGGCTGGAGACATTCAAATGGGCATGGCTCACCGACCAGTTGCCTTGGGCCTCGCCCTGTTGACTGCTGTTCGCACTTGGCTTGACCGTTGCTTCCTCCAGCTGCGGCCGGCAGCTCAACCCATTCACATTGATATGGGATATGTATTTGGCATAGCGGAACAGTCGAAACAACTGCGGCTGGGCATGCGAGAAGTTGAGCAACCACTGACAGCTCCACGGATTATCGTCGATTTGTATGTGCAGCTGCTGCGCCTGATCCCAGGCAGCGCCCTCCGTGTGATCCAGGCGCAACAGCTCGTTCGAGCTCAAGTCCAGCTGGGTCAGACTATGAGGAGCTAGCTGCAGCAGCTGCAGCCATGAAATGCTATGCAACTGATTCTGTTGCAGCTGCAGCGTCTGTAAATGCGTCAATTGGGCAAACCAACTGCTGTTCAAGCTTCTCAGGTGATTCGCGCTGAGATCTAGGCTAATGATCGAGCTGTTGAACAATTGTAGCTGTCGCAGAGCGTTTCCACTCAAATTCAGATGCAGCAGCTTGGAGGTTGCTGCGGCATCTAGTGTGAAGCCGCTCAGCTCACACTGCACCAGGCTGAGATTGCGCAGCTGCTCCGTGCCGTTGCCGAGTCGCAGATGTCGCCGCTCTATGGGCGTTTGCTGCACCAGCAGCTCAGTTAACTGCCCAGGCAGCGCCTCCAAGAACTCGCTCGTCACAAGCTTCAGCTGTGTCAGCTCCAGATGCTGCAGTTGCTCCAGCTGCTCCAACAGCTCGGCCTGTCGCAGTTCCAACTGACGTTCGTGCCGTATGGTCAACTGCTGCAGCTCTCGGCAGCCTGCGAGTGGCTCGACGAACCGTAGCGAGTTGTTCTCCAGCAGCAGCTGCTGCAAGTGCGGCAGCAACACGAAGCTGTTGGCGCTGAGCGTGCCCAGCTCGTTGTGGCGCATGGTTACAACACGCAGCTGCTTCAGCTCCAGCTCCAGCTTCGATCCGCAGTTCAAGGCAAGACTAGCTTCCAGCACAAAACGCTCGATCTCTAGACTCTCCAGCTGCGCACAATTGTCCAAATATTCCAGGCCATAGCTGGCCATGTCCAGCGGCGGCGTCTGGCTGCCATTAAGACGCACATGCAACTTGCCAGCCACACGCTGCGCGCCCAAGTCAAAGACAGCAGCTCCAGTGCTGCTGGCATTCTCAGTGCAATCAATGTCCAAAGGCAGACCAAAATCCTGCAGGCTACGCTGTTGCGGCGGCGTTACGTAGAGTGTGGCACGTATGAGGCAGGAACTATCTGCAGCGGCCACAACAGCTGGCTGAACGTGCAGCAGTAGCAACAGCAGCAATGCGTAGCAGCCTATTGAGGCGCTGCTGCAGTGCGTCATCGGCTGATTGGCATTCCACTTGAGCAGCGAAGCGTATCGCATCTTTGTCGCACAGCAGCCGCTCGCGTCGCGTGCAAAAACTCAACTGGGCAGCCCTCAGTGTGCGAAAAAGTGGAAAAGCGGAAAAGCTTTAGCGTCGCACCTTTGGCTCTCGCCAGGTCATCGCCAACCCCCCGCCGTTGCCGCCGGCTGTGTTTTTGCTTAAATATTGAAAACATCAATTCTCAGTGTGTTTCAGTTCAGTTTTGTTATAAATTTAGCTATACTGTTGCTCCGCTCTTTGCTCTCGCACTTGTGCTTCCTACACGAGTTCTTTTACACAGCTGTCAACATGATGCCCGTACCCCCTTCACGATCCACCCTCCGCATGCCCCATCCATCTGGAGCAGCAAACACTTTTCGCACAGAGCCCACTCAGCATCATGCCTCCAAAGTGGCTGCGGAATATGTTTATGTATACTATCACTATATATACCAACATCATCTATATATATATATATATATAGACATGCATATATCTGTAGAATCGCATCAGCTGTGTGGCCAGCATTCGCGGGCTATCGAGCACTCGAGCTGAATTGTTTACACATATTTTTTCTTTGAGTACATTTATATATGTTTTTAGAATTGAATAATTTGATTACTAATCGTGGGCACTTTGCAGCTGCCATGAGATCAGCAAGAACCCTTGAAAATCTATTGCGAAGGACAGCTTCCATATAAGGGCAAACGAGTGTCATAATAAAAGTCTGACCTTCATTTGTTGTTTATCAATATTTTTGGAATATTGAATGGGATTGCTTGGACATAATAAAGAGGCTATAGGATACACTTATATATCAAACAAAACGTGAATGTCAAGCTTAAAATAGCTTTTTGAACCTTTGAAGTGCTTGCTTAATTAGCAGTTAGACTGTAGATATACCAAGCTGAACTGTACATACGGAGATATATTTGAACTCTGCCAAATATATATAAAATCTTAAATTCAATTATATATAAATATATATTTATATATATTTATGCATATGTATTTTGAGAACAAAACCAAAGTTCAAACAAACATTTATTTTATATTTCAGATGATGTTTAGATATTTTACTTTATTATAAATAAATATATTTACATTCATTTCTATGTCTTACACACATATTATATTTTTAAAAAGGAAAATCAAACATGGGATTAAATTGAAACAAAATTAAGCTGGAAAAGATTGTGATGTTCGATGTGCTTGATGTTTTCTCTCTAATAGTTAATTTTCCAAGCTTACTGAATGATCAAGGGCACTATATTTATATATAAATAAATGCATATAAATAAATAAAAATATAAACTTTTAGAGATCGAAACGAGCTCATCAAACAAAGAGAAGCCCACAAAATATAGCTATAGGACTCTAAGCAAATCACAAATAGTTTTTATGACTACCCAAGATTTTTCGACTAAGCAGAGCACAATTTTTCGTGGTTCGTTGTACTAATATTTTTATCATATTTTTATCATATTTTTAACATATTTTTTACCATATTTTTACATATTTTTACCATATTTTCACTATAGTTTTTTTTACCATATTTTAACCATATTTTTGTACCATATTTTTACCATATTTTTACCATATTTTTACCATATTTTAACCATATTTTTACCATAATTTTTTAACATATTTTTACCATATTTTTTTACCATATTTTAACCATATTTTAACTATATTTTTTTTACCATATTTTTACCATATTTTTTACCATTTTTTTTACCATGTTTTAACCATATTTTTCCATATTTTACCATATTTTTACCATATTTTTTTACCATATTTTAACCATATTTTTACCATATTTTTTTACCATATTTTTATCATATTTTTTTACCATATTTTTTTACCATATTTTTACCATATTTTTACCATATCATATTTTTTACAAGCAGCCAACGTTGATTATTATAACCTACTCAACATCTATAAAGACACTCCCATATCTTAGGCCCAACTCATGCGGCCAAAACTGATTTTCTTATTGACTAACTGAAAGTATATATATGGAATTCAAACACAATTTATACACGAAAATTTCATTAAAATCTATAGAAATGACACAAATAAAAATGTTGCGAGGCGAGTTGCACAGTTGCCATTAAAGTCTACCAAAGTAGCGTGTGGCAAGCAACTTGATGGTATGGCCCAGGAGTCGGCGATCTGTATAGATAACGTACGGTTGATCCTGGCCATATCTTCAAGTCGCTTGAACCGCTAAGTAGAGCTCCGGCTGACCTGCTCTAGGTTCTGGCCTTTAGCGTGCGTGGAGTGCCCAGTCGTATGGTGCAGGGGCTGGATTGCCGGGTCTGGGTATTCGTTCGCGACGTGCCCTGTTCGCTGGTGGGGCAGGAGCGCTGTGGACTGACGCTGCTGGAGGGCACAGCGAGAGAGACACTAGCGGGACCGCCGGTGGTGCCGCCAGAGGTCATGGTGTAGATGTGACGTCTAAGCACACGTATATGCTTCTGAGAGACCTCGAAGTTGTGGACCAGCGTATGGAGCTGTGTCTGCAGCTCGGCAATGAGACTGTCTCGCTCCTGTATGAGACTCGACGTGGAGTTCTGGCTGCGGCTGAGCTTCAGTTCCAGATCGAAAATGCGCTTCTGCAGCTCTCGGCGCTGTTTCTCCGTTTGCTCACGATGCCGCGACAGCTGCCGCTTACCCGCCGCCTGCAGCGTGTCCAGCTGCAGCTTGGTCGTGGTCAGCTCCTCGGCAAGGCGATGCTTTTCCGTCTTGAGCGCAGCATTGTAGTTCTTAAAGATCTTAAGATCCCGCTCAGCTGCCTTCAAGCGATTGACCGTGATCAGCTTCCGCTTGCCCAGCTCATCGATCTTGCACTTCAGCTGCGTGGCCTCCTTCTGGAGCGAGTGCAGCTTCTCAGCCATCAGGCAATTCTCGCGCAGCACATTCTCGTATTTGGTGTGCTCCTCGCGCATCAGATGCGGCAGCTGAGCAACGCTCTTCAGCTTGCTGTCGATCTTGGAGCGCAGAGTGTCGATGTCATTGTAGATGCTCGACTCCAGCTGCTTGTTGTTCACGTGCAGCTTGTCGATCTCATGCTTTTGCGTCTTCATTATCTCCTGAGCCTTCACGCAGCGCGTGTGATAGTCGCTGATGCGTTCCTGCTGATGCCGTATAATGCTGCGATATTGTACCTGTTCGCTTTTCAGGTCTTTGATCGTGGTATACAGCTGACTGAACTCACCGCTGTCTTGTTTGTAGGCGTACTTGCTCTTGTGATCCTGCTGCGTGTTGATCACGTCCTTGAGCACATTGTACATGTCCTCTAACGATGGGTCGTTCTCCTGCCCCTCCGAGGCTGTTCGCAAGCCGCGTCGTGTGTGGTCACGCGATGCTACTACCTTCTGCTCATAAGCACCTGTAGTCAACTGCTGGCTCCTTACTTTCGACTGATGGCGATTACCTTTACGCTTAGCCAGCGACGACGACGGCGCCGCCTGCATTGTTCCAGTGGAACTGGGCGCAGCCAGCACAGTCATAAAGCTGCTGTTGCTGCTGAATACATTCTGACCGTTGCGACCCTTAACCGTCAGGTCGGAGCCTATGCTGGTGGAGGATGGACAATATCTATCTAGCAAGACCCCATCAACATCCGCTTCGCTTGGAGTCTCCATTTCAGGACTCGTACTGCGCCTGACCACAAACTGGCCATGCTTCTGCTGCATTTCGCTCAGTTCATAGTTAATCTTCATGTACTTTTTCTCTAGGTCCTTGGTCGTCTCGTTGTACTCCTTGAGCTCCTGCTTGTACTTGGTTAGCTCCAGCTTCAGCTTGGCTCCCATCTCATCGCCCTGCGGTCCGATGCGCCTGTTGGTCGTACGCTCATGATGCTGTTGCTGCTGCTGCTGGTGCTGATGCTGCTCCTCCTCCTCATCATCGTCCTCATCGTCCACTAAGCCAAACTGCTCGCCATCGCTGAGCGCCAATTCTTCATCCTCTTCCACACAGTTGATTTTAGTGGCGTCGCTCGGTGTTAAACTTTTGGAGTGGACACTTATGTAACTGTTCTTTTTCAGAGTCTTGCCGCTTGTGTTATCCGCCTCCGATTGCTTCCCCATCGACTCGGCCTCCTCTTGCCCGATGGGGGAGACTCCTCTGGGCGCCGGTTCGTTGTTAGCTTTGTAGGTGGCCGGAATTAACATTTACAATAATTTTGCTCTTAGCCGTTTTCTACATACACTTTCCTAATTTTTGTCCTGTCTTTTTACCAACAGATAATTTTTAAAACGAAACTTCTACATTCATTTACCAAAAATAGTTATTACTTCGACTGGAACAACATCAAATTATTATTAACACGTTTTTTTATTTTTTTGTAAATGCCTACTCAACGAAAACATTTGTATGGCTCTCTACAAATCATGCCCATTTCGTGTATATATAATATTCATATATATAATATTATTAATACGAAGACTGCGACTTGTTAGCATAACTCAAAGGCTTCAACAAAGTTGTTTGCAAATTTAATCTAATATCTGGTATTATAGATTATTTTATATCTTTGAAGTCAGTCCAATTTCGAAGTTAAGAATTAAATGTTGACAATATAGAGATAATTCATGGCTTACTCTCGGCAGCAGAAGGATTACACCAATTCAAAAAGATCTCTTCTATCTAAGGCTAAATTTGTGAACATTTTTTCTACCAAGTGAAAAATCTAATAAAGATCATGAAATCATCGCTGATGATCGAGGACTAAAATCTATTATATATGATCCATGACCCATGATCGATGATCTTAGATCTATGATCCATAAATAACAACTGAGACCTGAACACTTAGTGTTGAGTAAATATAAATTTACTTAATCGAATATACATTTAGTTTTACATAAGGTTTTTATTCTCGAAAATATTGATTACTCTGATTGTGATATTTTTTCGGGGCGTCGATGAGCATGTGGATTTTGATCATAAGACACGTCAAAGCAGGCCAAGGCACATATGCTTCGAAAACTGAAAAGCATTATTCGAATGGTTCAGTTCATTTCCGTTGTTTAAAAAAACAACACAACCTTAAAATTTTATAGTAATCAATTCCAGAATACATATCCAAAATTTGAAGATTATGCTTTAAAATTACAAGTTATTCGAGCTATAATATAAAAAAAGAAAACATCTTGGAACCATTGAACGAACAGGAGAGAGAGAGGGGTATCATCACTTTGCTTTCGTAAAGTAAGTATCGATCAAAATGGGTGACAATGAGGGTGCAGAGGAGCAGGATTTTGAGGAGGAGGATGGAGTTGCGGCCATAGATGAGGGCGGCATCGAGGAGGGCATTGAGGATGACTTATTCTCACGTCTGGGTGAGTCTTCAGATGATCCAGAGCAGAGACGCATGTATCACGAGTATTTGGCTCTCATCAAGGAGATCGATTGCCAGAATAGGATTATACAAGACATTAAGATGCAGGTAATGGACATGTGCGAACGTCCTTGTAAGACGCGCAACGAACTGCGCGAAATCAAGCGCCTGCGCATTTGTATGGAGCAAGAGAATATCAAGTTACACACAATGATGAATCGAGCTGTGAAGCTGCAGAACTTTGGCTCTCGTCGTCATTATCGCGAATTAAATATGACAACCACCGTAGATGAGGATAATATATCACCGTATTGCTTGGGTACCTGTGGAAATACTGCAGGCAGTGCCGGTACGGCCACAGACTGCAGCGAAGACGCTCCATCCAGCCGTTGTCAAGTAGAAGGCCAAGAGGATCGGCTCATTAAGGCGCTAAGTAAAGCTATGCAAAAGATGAAGGGCGCCTGCCCAGAGGATATGAAAATGATGCAGGAAATCGCCTGCGCCATCATGGCTTCCAAGTCTAAGCCCAAGCAGGTGTGCATGCCGGGTCCATGCCAGAAAGCGAATTCTCCTTGTGACGAGAGCAGCAGCAGCTCGGTGGCACCTCCATGCGCGCCGTGTCCTCCACCATCACCGTGTCGGCAACCGAAACGCTCGCGCCATCGTGCCCAATCACCATGTCCGCCACCCTGTCCGCCCCCTTGTGCGCCGCCGTGTAACAAGAGCGATTCGCTGGACAAGCTGAAGCGTCGCATTGTGAACATGCAGTCTTCGGTGAAGAAGCTGCTTAATGAGGTTAGCAAGCGCGAGACACTGGAGCCCACATCGTGTGGCGGCTATGATGACGACGACGACGACGATGATCCATGCAATGCGCAGTCCCGCCCGCCTTGCCCCGAAGATCCCGATCCATTGGTCATTTGCGGTGGCAAGCGCAATACCAAAGCGGACCAGTTCGAGAAGATGAAGGAGAACTATGCTCGACTCTTAACCCAGTTTCAGCGCAAAGACTGTCAAATGAAGGAGCTGGAAAAACGGTTGGAAAACTATCCAAGATCCAATTTTAAAATTATCAATTAACGTTTTTTTATTTTCTTTAGCATGCGAGGGTTCATGGGCGGCTGTGGTGCCTCCAAAGGTACTGCGGACGCTGACACCGCTGAGCTAAATTTGCTCCGTGCCCGCGTCAATGAACTGAAGGAAGAACAGTTGGAGTTCAAATGTATCATGAAAGAGCAGTCACAACAGCTGGAGGATTATCGCAACAAGTACATGCTGGCACAGCAAAAGGTCGAGGAACAGTGCGTCTCGTTGGAGAAACTGAATATGAATAATAAACGCATCGAGCAGCAAATTAACACGGAGGTCAAGGAGATACGCTCCAAATTTCAGGAGAAACTCAACGAGCTGCTCCATTTCCCCAAGTTGCTCGAGAACGAGCAACTGAAACTAGCGCAGGTGTGCAAGGAAAAAGATGATCTGCAGAGCAAACTTGTGGTTGTCTGCAAGGAGTTGAAATCCTGCAAGATACAGTTGGAAAATCCCCCAGAAGACTTGGGTCCACAGCTTGCCCAGTGCCAGCTTGATTTGACCCAAGCGCGTAATGAGATCGAGGAGCTGCTGCGGCAGCGCGATCTATTCTGTGAACAACTGAAGACTACACAAGACGATCTGGATACGTTGCGTACCGAGTCCGCCAAGATCATTGCCGGCACCAAGGAACGCGCCGAAATGATCAAGGCCCAGCAGCAGGAACAAATCAATCGCCTCGAGAAGGAGTTGGCACAATGTCGTGCCACGGCCAGTTTGTCGGTCAACGATCGCGAGGCGGTCATACGAGAAATGCAGGGCCAGCTCAATACATTATCCTACAGTTTCGATGCGGCCCAAAAGCAAATCAAAACTCTACGCAATCACATTGCCTATGTGTCCAATGAGAATTGCTTCCCAGTCAAATGTTAAGACGACAGTTTCGTTCAGATTTCAATGTTCTCATCCAACTGCCGTCATATTTGTGCGTGTGTGTATGCGTGTGTGTGCGTATCGCGTGCTCGCGTATCTTTGATCATACTCCCAAATCTCAAAATAATGTATCTCTGAAATGTACAAAATGCATGATTGTCCAACACTGCGGTTGTTAATATTTACATCAACATCCTTTGGGTCTCTATGAATCTTTTGTTGAACGAGACAGAAATTCACTAAATTGCACATTGCATACATGCGTGCGTAAATATAATTTCTCTATAATAAAAGCGGTTCAAAATCAATTAGTAGTTCTGGAATTCGACGATTCTTTTCTCTCATGAGCCAATTCGAAGACGAAGTTGGTTGGATCCAGGTCGACAACTTTTGTTTTCTGGTTGGTCAAGATCCAGAATCGTAAGCTTTAAGAGCTGCCGCTTTGTGTCTAAAAATATATATAGCACAAACTTAATTTTCGCTCAATAAACACAAATACTTTATTGCTTTAGAATGGCATTTGAGGAATAGCCGCTAATTGTTCTAGAGATAGGTGAGCGCAAATAGATGGCACTACTGGGCACAAGATCTATAGTGATTTTACTGCTAGGCGTTTCATTTTGGGCGCATTCTTCTTGGCCTGACGTTTTTGTTCCTTGAGCTCCCAACGGCGTTGCTTCTCTGGGTCCTCTTCGGCGAGCACGCGCTCCTTCTCCTGCTTGCGCTTATCTTCGCGACGCTGTGCAGCTGCCTCGGCACGAGCGGCATGTGTGCTTTTTAGGAACTCTTCCTCGACGCGCAAACGATTCTTATCTGCCTTAGCTTTGGCCTGCAATTTCGATTTAAATTGTTAAGATATTGGGGCTAGTAGAGGGATGTCAAGTTGTGTGATAGCCTACCTCTTTGGACATACGATAGATTTTCAAGCGTTCCATTAGATAAAATATTAACAATAACAAGGGTTTTATGGTCTCCATTTCGGCATGTTTTGGCAGATTAAAGCCGGCCAATAGTACAGGCCTCGTCTCCGGCTGCTTCAGCGTGTTGCCTTCCTCCTGCTGGACTTGGCCGCTGAACTGATCCGAGATGTGCAGGTAATCGATATAGCTTTGGTATTTGTTAAGTGCAGTTATAACACGTGACTCGAGTATGGCGGATGTGGCTTCCGGTATTTCCGAAAGCACGCCAAAGCCACTAGGAACGTTATAACGATCCTCGGGCTTGGCAACTAAGCTACAAAACTTGGTCTGCGGTAAAAAGAAGTTAATACTGATTTCAGCCACGAGATCAAAAGTTAATAACTTACCAAATCTGTGTACTCCTTGAATATTTTAGTTATAGTCTTTTTGCTACCGACTGCAAACACAAATGTATCCATTAGGCCACGTGTCAATTCGATTTTGATGTGCACCTGATCCAACTGGGGTCGCATCAGACCCGCAACAAGAGACACCAAATCCTGACGCTTGATCATTTTCAGCTCCACCAGCATGCCTTCGCAACATGTGCGACCGGAGCACCAAAGAGTGTACAAGCTTTCGCTCTCCTTAATTAGTCCTGGGTTCTCGTTCTCCACTTTACCATCGTCGCCAACTAAAGCAAAATTTTCGTCGAGGAGCGCTTTGTGCGTGCTGAACCAGAGCTGCGCCAGACGCGCATTCTTTGTCTTGCCAGCAAAGAAGTTGGCGAAATAAGCTAGGAGACCGGCTACCATTAGCATTTCCATCCAATAGGAATCCCAGTGAGTGCGGAAATGCAACGGTATATTCGGTATCTTTAGCTTTGGCTCCGTCTTCTGATCAATAGGTGGTTCCATGGTGTCACCAGCATCATAGCCTTCGAACTCCTCTTCGTCCTGGAAGTGCTCAAATTCGTCGTCGTTTTCAACGAGGCCGTCCTCCTCATCATCGTTGGAAACAATTAATTTCTTGGGCTGTTCCTGTCGTTCTCTGCTGTAGCCATCGCCGCCTGCCCCCCTGGATGAGTCGGCATTTTCTGCGGTTTCGGTATCATAGCTGGCTTCCACAAAGTCATCATCGAACTCCGCAAAATCATTATCAGTTTCATCTTCGCTGTTGATATTTACATTTGCGCTGTTCAGTTGACAGACGCATAACAGCGCCAGCAACAAAAATGCAAACACAGGTCGCATTTTATAATACAAATAGTCCAAAATATAACGTAATTCAGCTAATATTAACCTAAATCTAAAACTTTTCACCTAATAAAAAAAGTAGGTTAAGTGGACTGAAAATATCGATAAAAAGAGAACATATTTTCTCGATAATAAAATACTGTTAATATACAATTTATCACTCAATAGTTGAGGAACGGTTGAGTATATTGAACACGACACAGTGAAATCAGGACGAGCAAATTGAATTTTGAACATGAATAAGTTTATTGCAGTGAAAAAAGTGAAAAGTCTTTCTATTAAATAAATCGTGTGTGATTGCAATTAACGAATACTGTCATGTTATGCCGTGAGCGAATAATCATCATTTGTTTGTATTCTCACCTGAATGTATCGATAGTTGCTTATGTATTTCGATTAGTTGACGATAACAGCCTTTTAGCCGCCGCAGCGGAGTAAACACGTTGCAATTCGCAATTTGTTGGTTGCTAGTTATTTCAATAAATATTAAGTGAACTCATAATAAATTACGCAGGCAATCACAGGAAAATGGTAAGCGAAAACATATAAAATAATACCGGTAAAACAGTCGTGCTTGCTGCGCGCTATAATCCAATTGCAAATTCCACGAATACAAAATCCTCAACCTGATGCAATATTTGCATCGGGTGACAATCAAAAAACGAAATAATTAAAATTGTTTTAATATATGCATGACGCAAAAAGGCAAATGTGGAACGTAAAGGCACCTTCAAGGTGGAATTTCTGCAGAAAATCGAGCGCGAGGTGCAACAGCGATGGGAAGCGGAGCGCGTGCATGAAACGGATGCCCCAACAGAGCCCAAGAAACAACTGAGCGAAAAATTCTTTGTAACATTTCCGTTTCCGTATATGAATGGACGCTTGCACTTGGGGCACACATTCTCCATGTCGAAGGCAGAGTATGCTGTTCGCTATCATCGCCTCAAGGGACGTCGTGTGCTGTGGCCCTTTGGATTCCACTGCACGGGTATGCCGATCAAGGCGTGTGCTGATAAGCTGGCGCGCGAGCTTGAAACGTATGGTTATCCACCCAAGTTTCCGGAGACGGAGGAAGAGGTGCCAGTTGTTGAGCAGTCGCAGTCGGAGGTGCCCAAGGATAAGTCAAAGGGAAAGAAGAGCAAAGCCGTTGCCAAAACGGGCAGTGCCAAATATCAATGGCAAATTATGCAAAGCCTCGGCTTGCAGGATGAGGAAATCAAGCAATTTGCCAATGCAGAGCACTGGCTGAGCTACTTTCCACCGCTGGCCGTGCAGGATCTGAAGCGCATCGGTGTACATGTCGACTGGCGTCGCACATTTATAACCACAGATGCGAATCCCTACTACGACTCGTTTGTACGCTGGCAGTTTAACCATTTGAAACAGCGCGGCAAGATCATGTATGGCAAGCGTTATACAATTTATTCCCCTAAAGACGGACAGCCCTGCATGGATCACGATCGTTCCAGCGGCGAAGGCGTAGGTCCCCAAGAATACACTCTGATCAAGATGAAAGTCCTGCAGACGCCCAAGGCTTTAAGGTGAGTTTCAACTTTCAACTATAAATTTGGGCTAAATTATCATTATCCCTTTGCAGTGCTATCAAGCAGCCGATTTTCTTGGTGGCAGCCACATTGCGTCCGGAGACAATGTATGGCCAAACGAATTGCTGGTTGCACCCAGACATTAAGTACATCGCTTGGCAAAGCTCGCGTGACAACGAAGTGTGGGTCAGCACACATCGTGCCGCACGTAACATGGCCTATCAAGGCTTCACAGCCGAAGATGGCAAAATTGTTGTATTGGCCGAAGTGACAGGCCTGGAGCTCTTAGGTGTTCCACTGTCGGCGCCGCTAACGAGTCACAAGACAATTTACACACTGCCTATGCTGAGTATTAAAGCGGATAAGGGTACGGGTGTGGTAACCTCCGTGCCCTCTGATTCGCCCGATGATTATGCTGCCCTGGTGGATCTGCAGAAAAAAGAAGCATTCCGTCAAAAGTATGGACTAACGGACGAAATGGTACTGCCATATAGCCCAGTACCCATCATCGAGGTCCCAACACTGGGCAATCTCTGTGCTGTGCATGCCTACGATACACTGAAGGTTCAATCGCAGAATGACAAGGATAAACTAGCCGAGGCCAAGGAGCTTTGCTATTTGAAGAGTAAGAGTTAACGGAACTGTATATTTGCTTTTGAAGAAATATGGTTTTAATTGAGCAATTTTTCTAATAATTATTATCATGCTCGTGTATACATACCCCGAATTTCCAATTTCAATTATTTACCAATTGCTAAGTTAAGAAAATCACTGGGATCGTCCAAAAAACGATTTAAGGATTGACAACTGAGAGATAGTCAACTGAAAAGATATTACAAAACATATTTATATCAAATAAAAATATTACTGATTGATGTTTCTCACTTAACAGGTTTCTATGACGGCATAATGCTGGTAGGTGAGTTCGCTGGTCGGAAAATCCAGGACGTGAAAAAGAATTTGCAAAAGCAATTAGTTGATGCCAAGGATGCGGATATTTACTATGAACCCGAGAAGACCATCATGTCACGCTCAGCGGATGAGTGCGTAGTGGCGCTGTGTAATCAATGGTACCTAAACTATGGCGAACCTGAATGGCAGGCACAGGCAACAAAAATACTGCAGGACATGGAAACGTTTCACGAGGAGGCGCGCAACAACTTTGAGGCGTGTCTGAACTGGCTGCATGAGTACGCCTGTTCGCGTACTTATGGCCTGGGCACTAAGCTGCCTTGGGATGAACAGTGGCTCATTGAATCGTTGTCCGACTCAACTATCTATATGGCCTTTTATACGGTTGTGCACTTGCTCCAAGGCGGCACTTTCCGTGGCGAGAAACCAGGACCATTCGGTAAGTGAGATTATAAAAGACTTGTCTCCTATATAACTGACTCTTTGAACTATTTACATTCTTTAGGCATCACACCCGCAGACATGACTTCTGACGTCTGGGACTATATATTCTTTAAAGAGACACCTCTACCAAAGAAAACAGCTATCAAAAAGGAGCATCTGGCTGTGCTGCGACGTGAATTCGAGTACTGGTATCCCATGGATCTGCGTGTGTCTGGCAAAGATTTGATTCAGAACCATTTGACCTTCTGCCTGTACAATCATGCAGCAATTTGGCCTAATGATGAAACGAAGTGGCCCAAGGGTATGCGCGTCAATGGCCACTTGCTTCTCAATTCGGCCAAGATGTCCAAATCAGATGGAAATTTCCTGACACTTTACGAAGCAGTTGACAAGTTTTCTGCGGATGGTATGCGTCTGTGCCTTGCCGATGCTGGTGATAGCGTAGAAGATGCTAACTTTGTGGAGAGCACGGCGGACGCGGGTATCCTCCGTCTATACACCTTCATTGAGTGGGTGAAGGAGATGCTGGCTACGCGCAGTAGCCTACGCAATGATGCTGCCAAAACCTTTAACGATCAGGTCTTCTTGAGCGAGCTAAATCTGAAGACAAAGCAGACGGATGATAACTATCGACGCATGCTCTTCAAAGAAGCGCTGCGAAGTGGATTCTATGAGCTGCAGCTAGCCCGTGACAAGTATCGCGAGCTGTGTGGTGCCCAGGGTATGCATGAAGAGTTGGTAATAGAGTTTATACGTCGTCAGGCTTTGCTAGTGTCGCCAATATGCCCGCACATGGCGGAGCATGTGTGGGGACTGCTGGGCAACAAGGGATCTATTGTTCATGCGCGTTGGCCCGAAGTGGGCGCCATTAATGAGCTCGACATCATGTGCTCTGACTATTTGATGGAGTCGGCACATTCTTTCCGCCTTAATTTAAAAAATTTACTTCAAGTCAGAGGCAAGGGCGGCAAGGAGAAGGCTCTGGATGCCCAGACGATGAAGCCCAACCGCGGTCTCGTTTGGGTGGCTAAAACGTATCCGCCCTGGCAATGCTGTGTGCTGGACACCATGCGGGAGATGTATAACAAGGACACCAAAACGCTGCCTGATAACAAGATAATCGCAAGCACCCTGCAGCAGAAACCCGAACTGAAAAAGTTCATGAAGCGTGTGATGCCCTTTGCACAAATGATACGCGAGAAAGTGGAGACGGGCAAGGGCGTGGCTGCACTAGCTGTCACGCTGGAGTTCGATGAGCGTCAGGTGCTGCTTAGCAATCTTGATTATCTTAAGAATACCTTGGATGTGAGTAGAAAACTTATCTAAAAATACTTCATTTACTTACACACTCTTTTACATCAGCTGGAAAGCCTGGAAATCAAGTATACTGATGATCCCTCGGCACCTGAGAAGACGCGCGAGGAAGTCCGCCCTGGCTCACCATTCATTAGCTTCAGCGTAGCGCCTCACGTCCCCGTTGAACTAGTAAATCCAACGGAACGCTCGGCTCTGTTCCAAGTGAACACCATTATATCAGAGGGTGATACGGTGCTGTCATTGCGCGAGAAAATCTCCAAAATAATTGGCCTTAAAGCAGATCTGTCCACGCTCCAAATCTGGCGGTATGAAGATCCTGTAATGGGCCCACGTAAACTGCCCAACTTCCAGGACTATAAGACGGGCAAGACACTGCTCAGCGAGGGTAATTTTGTGCTTGATGTTCAGGATAAACGAGTGAGCGTCAATATTGCGGGAAAGCTTATCGAAGTCGGACGTAATCTAATTTATGTGGTTGAGTAAAGTTCTAACTGGTTCTGGTTAAAAGTTTAAGTTAAAAATGAATTGAAATTGGAACATTGTAAAAATCATTGGCTATAAATGAAAACCTTAATATGCAATGCGCATTGCTGTGACCACTTGACCTATTTTCAGTTAGTTTTATCAAGGTAAACTAAAAGCGCTCTAAGCCCAAAGTATATTGTGTCCGCTATACAGCTTAAGACTACATTGGCAGTGTGCTTTTAACAATGTGAGAAGTAGATAACAGTACTAAATTGAATGTAGAATTAGACATAAAAGAATAGCTGAAGCAGAAATTTCTTTTCAAAATAAAATGTTGTATAGAAGGGGAAGAAGGTTAAAAGCAGTTAAATTAATAATATAGCATTTTCTGACGTAAAAAATATTATTTAAAGGCGATTCCTAATTATTCTACTATTTGTATCTATTAATTCTTGAGAGTTAGTGTATCCAAAGTTCGTTTAGAGAAAGTTTTTTGTAATTTTTCCAATTATTTTGGTATGCGAACTCCGCAGAGTTAGATAAAGTCTCAATGGGGTTTCCTGATTATCTTTAGCTTTAACCATTTAACCAGGGTCTGGGTCGGTTCTATAAAAGCCGAGCGCTTCTTTGCTTCTGACAAAGTCAAATCAAAAATGTTGTCAGCGAAATTTGTGATTGTTCTGCTACTTCAGGCCGCGGTAACCGTCCTGGCGGGCTGCTTAATACCGCAGCCCGTCAAGCGCCAACGTTCACTGCACAATGAGCTCTTAAGACTGCAACCGCGCCTTGATGGTCGCATTGTAGGCGGTTATCGTATAAACATAACCGACGCGCCATATCAAATCTCGTTGCAAACAACCGATCACATTTGCGGCGGCTCCCTGATTTCGAACGAGTGGATACTAACGGCTGCGCATTGCACCTAGTAAGTGGTTCAGATTGGAGATTGTCGTTTGAATTCATGATTCAAATACAATTCTTTCTACTACAGTCGTAAAACAGCTAACATCCTACGCGTGCGTTTGGGCACCTCTGAATATTCCCGTAATGGACAGCTGCTACGGATTCAAAATATTGTTCAGCACGAAAAGTTCAACTACTCGAGTGTCGATTATGACTTCGCACTGTTGCAGTTGCAGGATCCCATTGAATTTGATAAGACTAAGAAGGCTGTCCAGCTGCCGGCGGAGGACGCAGTATTTAATGACGGTGATATGTGCTATGTTAGCGGTTGGGGCACTACACAGAATGTGCTAGAGCCACGCGGTTGGCTGCGCCAGGTGCAGGTTCCGCTGGTCAATCAGCAGGAGTGCAGCGGAAGGTATAGTAAATACGGTGGCGTGACAGATCGCATGATCTGCGCTGGATATATGAATGGTAGGAAAGATGCCTGTCAGGGCGATTCGGGTGGTCCTATGGTAAACGCCGATGGTGTGCTGGTGGGCGTGGTGTCCTGGGGCTATGGCTGTGCCGTGCCCAACTATCCGGGCGTATACGCCAGAGTATCTCAAGTTCGTGAATGGATTAAGAACCACAGCGGAGTTTAATTAGCTAACTAACTGAATAAACGAATTAAAATATGCAGCAATACCAAAGCATTTTCCACTCTTTTATCCATACTTCAGCAATAACACGCGCTGACGGCACGCAGGCTGTAGTGCTTCAACCACGCGACCTTATTGCACGGCGCACATTATGGCAACGCATGTCGCATTGCGTTGTCAGGAGTGTGACAAGGATATATGTGGGGCTGTGTGTCCTTTGCAGCTTGCGAACATTGCTTTATCCCGCTTGCGCTTCACATTTTCCGTTCGCTTTCTAGTTTTGTGTGCGTATACACAATTAATATTATGTATACGACACACTGCACATTTTCTTAAAGCTCAGCCGCTAATTATTGCTGATTATTAAGTTTAATAACAGCTTGATGTGTAAGTTTACGTGAGAATATATAATTTATATTTGCCTTAACTAACTACGATCGCTGAAGTTACTAGTGTCAGGTGCTGTGTTCTTAGCGAGATTTAATAATATTTTTAATCTAGCATTTATAAGATAGCGCTACAACTTAAATAGCAAGAACTACGCCAAGCAGAAGCATATGGAACAACCTGGCTTAATTGGATATGGATACCAAGTATACATTTGTTGATTGGTTGATTTGCTAGATATATTACTACAAATTTATGACTTCAGAACTACATAGATTCTTTGTTTTAAAAAGAGTTAGTTTTTTCTATTATTTTTTATTATTTATATTATATTATATTACATTATATTATATTACATAAGCTTAGTTACTTTAAATAAAAAAAAAAACAAAAATGTGGACAATTATAATTAATAATATTACAACAGTAAAATTAAGATTATTATATTTTTCATTGCTAATTTGTTTTGTGTATTAAATGTAAAATATATGTAAGATTTAACATTATAAAATGTAATTTTATTTATAATATTTTCTATTTGAATATAATATTAATAATTTAAGTTATTAATATTAATTTTATTTATAATAATTAATAATAATAATTATGTGAAAATATTACATGCTAAAAATGTTTAGTATCTTTTTATATTTAGTCATCTTTTCATTAAACCAAAAATTTTTATTTTTTTTAATAATTTATATTAGTCTCCCTTTCTCGTACAACTTATACAGTTGCTTTGTGAATGATTTCAAAAGTTGTTAAAGTCAAAAGACTATGTCGCTCACCCTGAACTTGATAATGATCATGCAAGCAGAAGCGGACACACAGATATACGTACTTACACATATATATACCTACCATATGCTAAATTGCATAACAATCTTTGTAAACAAATCGCACTGTAAGTATATCTTCATTTATTTTTTAGTCTTCTTTTCGAGCATTGTGCAACTGCACTCAGGAAAAACGATCGTTGGTAATCGCGATTATGTTGACAATTTGGCATTGGCATTAGTGCTGGTGGAGTCGCGTGGAGCTGACGTGCTCGGGGCACGCGCCGTTGACCAAGAGACGACGTGAACGTGGCCGTGGAATGCTGTTCTTGTTATTGCGTTCTTTTTTTTATTGCATTGCGCATACGCCTCGTTAACTGACCAACTGTTGAGTGGATGTTGTGTAAAAATAGCCCAAAGGTAAAAACTGTTATTCAACAGAAGACAATGCAATGTGGTTGTGAGCGTGGGTGCAATCAGCAGCACAAATACCATCACCACCCCCAACATCAGCAGCAACACGAACACATCAAGAATCAATAGAGAGCAACGGGCTGTCGCTGACGTTGCCGCTGCCGAAAGCGAACAGCGTAGATAGCAGCGTTTAACGGTATGTGATTATTATGGTGACACTCACGCACACACACACACATACACAGCAGACAAACAAACGTGCCGCACGTTGCAGTAACACGTGAGCACGTCGAACAACCCAGCTATCCGTGTGCCCGAGCGAGAGGCAAGCACTTAAAACGAAAAGCTTCGTCACGCACACACACACACACAAGTACAATTGGACAGCCGGCACAACGGCAACTGGTGGCCGAAGCTTTAACATCTCATGCGAGTGCAATGTGAATGTGAACGTGAGCACGCGACTGTGTGTGTGAGTAAAAGCTTCGGCTCGCTGCAACGACGGCTTCCACTGTAGCAGCAATGCGAGTCCATTGAACATTCAACATTGTGAGCTTCAAGCAAACGGTTTGTGTTATCGCGTCGCGACTCGATACTCTAACAGAAATACGATTCAAAAATCTGTAATATATTAATTAAATATATAAAATAAGAAAAAACAAAAAGCCCATTGAATACTATATTAGCGGAAGCTTGTGGAATGTTTTAAGCGCACAACTTGCAAGTGCAACACAATTTTTTGAGCGGCAATTGAGAGTGCTTAGCCAAGCTAATTGTTTCTATGTAAGTCCAACTGTAAGTGCATATGTGTGGGTGTATCTGTGTGTGTGTTTATGGCAGTGAATAATTTTCTAAGCAATTGATAAATGTGCAAATTATTGCAGTTGTTGTTTTGTTGTATTTTACGTAAGTTGAACTTGAATTGCGTAAAGTGCACAAATTAATTTAGATACAAAAAAATTACAAAAAAGTGAGATAAAACAATAAAATTTTAAATATTAATTGTGTCGAATTTGTATTTATTTTTCAAGATACTATAACATACTTTCCAAGACTTCATTTCAATTGTTAACAAACAAATCGAATTTGCTCAATATTTATTATAAAATTCTTTAAAAAGGAACAACAAATATTAAGCGCAATTAGATAAATTATTTTAAACTGTGGCTTTACTTTCAGCTGACAAACAACTAAAAACACTAAAAAATTATTAAAAACATTGCTCTAAAGTAAATATTATTCTAACCACTGTGGAATAACAAAGCGCGACGATCGATACAGCATAGAAAATCGGGTAAGTACACTATAATATAGATGAATATAGAAATATGTGCGCCTAGTGTGTAGCACTACACGACCTATCACAGTTTTCTACGTCGCAAAGCTTTAACTACAAGTTTAGCGCCATGAAGCTCTCGGCATTCGAAGCGCCAAATTCAAAAATTTAACTAATTTGCCGACTAAGCATTTTTAAAGGTATGAAGCTAGAAGAGCGTCGCTTGGGTTTTTTCTCGCCAATTTGTGTTTATGGCGTAGTCATTTCCAGCGCATAAGACGGAAGTATGTGAACTATTATATAACTAACATGCAAGAAGCGCACTTATGATATTTAAATATTCACTTGAACAAATTCAAACAGATCAGCGAAAAAATTTATGCGAGCAGCAGTCACTGACCCGCCATAGAGAACGAGCGGATTCACATATGAAACTTTTTGTGTTCGAATATGATCTAAACTAGTTAAGTTTATTAGATTTCAGATTTTCTTAGAATTTTTTACGTACTTTTTTATAATAAACATAGCTGACATTCCTGATATATAAATCATATATGGTTAATGGTTAATTTATATTTCTATAAACGGGTTATTTAGACAGCTAAAATCTATAAAAATTAAACTTTGCCTAACCCTACTCAAGCTAAAGTTATATTTAGACTAAGTCGAATGACTATATCATAGAAAACATAAAAATTATTGTAGAGCAATTGAAAAGTGAACAATAATTTACCTAATATACCTTTATAATCTCTAAGCACTATGTAGTATATGGAAAGCATTTTACTTGAAAAATTGATGTATCTTTCACGTTTTTAATTCTGACAATTGATAGCAAAATTTTAATTAGAACTCTACTGTAGGTAGATTAGGTTGCAAAACCTATTAAGCTTATGCCTTTTGAAAGAGTCTTCTATTTACCATCCACAGCGCATTTTTACTGCACACATTTAATTTATACTTTTCAAGTAGCACTTGGTAAATTAATAATATTTCCTTAAGCAAAATATTTGAACTATCTAGAATTTAAATAAAAAGAAATTTTTTTCTCTCTCTTTCTTTGACCTAAATATTTGTCCTTCCAAGACGAACGACTCAAGTACTTATGACTCTGAGCTTGACAGCCAGATGCTGTATTTTTTCCGATGCGCTGCCCGTTTTGACAGTTATTTCAAAAATTGTTTTCCTTCTTCGATTTGATATGTAAAATTTGTCAATCGGGCATATTGATTTGTTAATTTTCGCATTAGCCAGCTTTTATTTATGACTAGAAAAAATAGAAAAAAAAATCTTAAGCCCCGTACCAAATGTAAAATATTCGTTAGCTCTTTTGAATGAATTTTCCCTTTTTGCGAAAGAATGAAAACGCATTTTGATTTCAAATACAATGCGCATATCATTTGTCCTATCTATTCTTTTTTCCTTTTGCTGTTTGTCAAGCAAATTTTATGTAAGCTCTCTTTGAAAGCGTATTTGGTTTCATAACTGCTGGCGGAAACGGAATTGGGGTTGTACTTTCAAATGCCCACAACATTAGAATAGGATGGAAAGCATACAAACAAATTTATATATCTACATATACATATATACATATGCTTGGATGTGTGCGTATGTGTATATGTATATAGAGGTAAATCTAGACATGAGTTAGGTATATAATACAAAGAAATATATAAATTTGCTTTAAGATTTTAAAGCTCAGTTCATGTTAGCTCATGAATATTTTTGTATGTAAAGCGAAATATCTGTAGATAGAAAATGATTATTTAAATATTATTTTTTTTAACATTCTTATATATGTAAAATACATATTTGAATTGTTTATTTTGTTGACATATTGTTGGCAATATTAAATTTGATTGATTAAGCATATTTAATGAAAAGCTGTGCAGATTTATTTTAGATTAGTATTTTGTTGTACACGGAGTAGAGTGTTTGTTAGTCTATATTTAACACCTTTATCAGAATTAATCTTAATATTAATATTATCATAAGTACCAATATTAATCCATAAGAATATCGAAAAATTAATTTACTTAATACAAGTTGATCAGACCTCAAAAATATACATTTAAATGTCAAGTAATGTAATTTACAAAGTTAAACCACATATAATAATCCCTTCCACACAACTTACAACTCACTGCCCTTTGAAGAGAGGAGAATATAAATTGATAGTTAAATGCGTTTATTTATATCCTATTGTTAGTAAATTCAATAGATTCACATTCGTGCACATGTTCTAAAATGCGTACAGTAGAAGCTCTAAATTTAGTTTAGTTCACTTGTTGCATTTTTAGT